CCCCCCCCCTCCCTCCCGCCCGCCCGCCCGCCACCGACATCGGACCTCGGGGTGCGATATCTCGAGCTTCGCCGTCGACCGAGGAAGCACCGCCCGCCATCGCACACTCGATTACGCAACCGACCCAGCCAATACTCGTCACACGCATGCTTTCACGCGCCGAATAATTAGGCGACAGCGCCAAAGCAGCCTCATATTATCATCGCCGTACTCGCTCGCATTTTCCGTATTACGTCCGCAAGTACGCAGCGCGACTAGAGCCGCGTCCGTGTCACGTGAGCCCCGTGTGAGAAACAATAGCCGACGATGGAGCCGGAGTCACGAGGGCAACCAGTGTCACTTGGCCGTCCTTATCCCTTAACGTGATTTCTTCATCTTACCATGTAGCGCCAGTCGTTTTGCCAATACCAATGACATGTTTAACGAAACGAGCGCGTCTCTTCGATTATTGGCGATCTCGGATCGATCGATAAATAATCGAATCGTTGGATCATTTAATCGCGCTATGGACGCCAACAGCCGATTGACACGTCCAATTTAATTGAATACCGATACACTACGATATCTATCGTCCTCACCCGCTCTCGTCGCGGAGTCTCTTTAATAAAGCGATCCCTTGCCCTCGGAGACTGATGACGGGCAATTTTTGGATCGCTGGACACGGCGCGACCGAGGACTTAGACGACAGGTCGTTGCCGGGGCAAAGAGCAGCTACCAATCGGCGCACGAACGTTCCCCGAAAGAAAAAACTTGGCTTTTCGCACGTGCCACGTACCTGGTGTATTTAGCGAGTCGATCACGCTCGCAATTCCAACGACGTGCCGAACTCTGGAATAAATTCGCATCGGGCCTTCTCGGTGGCCTTCTCTCCCCTCGTCCTCCGAGACCGTGTCTCCCTGGGAGTCCAAGCGGGGGAAATTTGCGGGAATTGAGAAAACGCACGTCGATAGATTCGACCAATCACCTCGGCTCGACGTTGAAGCTTAAGCGCAAAAATTATATCGAATCCGTTTTTTCCTGTGTGCAGCGTTGCAGAGCTAAAGCGGTCCACGCGTGATGGTCAGAAGCAGCAGCAACAGCAGCAGCAGCAGCAGCAACACTAGTACCATCAGCAACGGTAGTACTATCAGCAACAATCGTAGTATCAGCGGCAGCATTAGCATCGGCAGCAGCAGCAGCAGCAGCAGCAGCAACAACAACAACAACAACAACAACAACAACAACAACAGCAACAGCGACAACAACAGCGACAGCAACAGCGACAGCAACAGCGTCAGCAACAATTGAGCGTCGGTCGAGCACGGGGTTCTTTTGACAGAGTGGACGCAAAGAGTCTCCTCCGTGAGAAGGGCGGTCCCGAGGGACAGAGATACCGTGAGGAGGAGGGGAGATCGAGAGGATGGCCGGCAACACGGCGCATTGCTCGCCGTCGCGCTCGTCACTGAGCTGCTGCCAGGCGGACAACGGTAGCCAGGGTGACGTGCGCCAGTCGTGCACAAATGATCCCTCCCGTATCAATAACAATTACTTCATGGAGGAGAAGCACCAGTTCCCGAAGAGGCCCGAGGTCGACCTGCAGTTCAGGAACGTCCGTTACCGGGTCAAGTCATGGACGATCAAGAACCTCAAACCAGGTTGGTGAAGCACTTTGTTCGTACTTCCGGGATTAACGTTGCCATGGGAATGGATTAGACGCGGCAGTCGCATGTCCGAAGAGCCGTTATCGTTAATTTTCTTTCCTTAATGCATTTCGATTGAATCGTATTGGGACAGATGCAAACCAGTTTGAGCCCGAGCGAATGTATTAGTAAATGATGGAGGAGATGCGTGTGCGATAGAATTCATTAATGGACGTCGTGACGAAACGTTTAATTTATACAGGGTTCGCGGTTCTCGACGTTTATATTAACTTCGCTTGAAAAACTTGATCTATTTACTAGTTTTTACGTTACTATTAGTGAATTAATAATTAGGACGTTATTTGCATATGCGAAAAATCGTTGTTTTGACGAAATGGCACTTGGACGATTAGATGCGTATCTCTTGGTCGTCCTCATTAATTAAAATTCACGCATTGTTCAAACTCGTGTGCAAATTTACCATAAATCATCAACATTTTCCATCTCTCTCTCTCTCTGTCTCTCTCTCTCTCTCTCTCTCTCTCTCTCTCAAGATTATTTTATTATGACCATGTTAAAATAAGGAACTGTATAATATTAATATAAATTATCGTTGCTTCACGCTAATAATTTTATAATCTTATATCTTGAAATCATTAAACTGTCACAAAATTCACGTGCTTCTTATTTAAAAGGATTTAAATATTGACAATAACATTTCTTTCTGATGTATTCAATTAAATTATCATGCAGTTGGTAATCGTTTAAAATTAATTTTCAAATGCTATTCATAATGTAAATTATGGCGTTAATAAAATCTTTTATTACAAGACACAATAAAATTTCAGTTTTCTTTTGAAAAAACAAAAAAAAAAAAAAAACAAACAAAAAATGAAATGTATAAAACTTTAATTTTAATTTAAATTTTAATAAAACCATCAACTGGAGAGAGAGAGAGAGAGAGAGAGAGAGAGAGATAATAGAATTAGACAATAAGTTTGAATTTAGCCTTCTACTTCGTACGTTCAATGCTATCGTCGTTTCACGAGGAAAGACATCAAGAGAAATTGTGTTATACAAATATTTTTTATCTCGGAAATAAAATATAAATATTTACCGCGTTTGTGATGCTATATGTGTATGACTTGAATAAATTATGCTCGTGAAATAAATATTTTAAGTAAGGTCTTGGATTAGTTATAGCTGTATCATACGTTAAAAATAACATTTTTAATAAGCTTCTCTTTCATTTTTTCAATGGATTTTTTTCTTTTAATTTTTCAAGTAAACAATTATTATCGAAAAAATTCGAATGTAAGCAATGAAAAAAGTACGATACGCTCTAAATATATAAACGAAAATAGCGATAAAAAAAGATAAAATTTCTCAGTAGGTCAAACACGTTTTTCACGTGTTGTACCTTATCTATGTGCCATTAGTAAATTCATTAGTAAAAAAATACTCGACAATATGTCATACTTTTTTCTTTTTGACTAGCGTATCTCCAAGCGGATAATCAGGCACCTTTTTTTTTGAAATTTTTGTAAAATCGAGTCAATTATATTATTACGTACGCGTAAATGCTCGCTTTGTAATTTAAATTTCTTATATTTTTATGTCTACAAAATCTTATTGCTTCAAGGCGACTTAATTCTTTGTTGTAGCGATAAAATTACCATCTAATGGCGTATTTATTTGTGCTCTTGGTTGTCATTTTTTTCAATCCTATTTATTAATATAATTTTATATGTTTGCCCATAAGCAGTTAAGTCACGCACAAAATTTATTTTTTACTTTTAACTAAATAATAAAATACGCGATAAATTATTATGCACACGAAAAAATGTATATTTAAACATAATTATAATTATTTACTTTTATAGTGAGATAAAAGAAAAAAGAGAAAAGAAATAAAAAAAAAAAAAAAAAAAACAATAAACAAAAAACATGCGTAACATAATATCATTGTTAATAGTAATGATTCATTGAGAATTTTATTAGAATGAACACGAATTTATAACATAGCGTAATTATGATATTTTTAAATAAAGTATGATTAATTTTTTATAATTAATTTGAATGAATTAAATTTTCATAAATTTCTCTACGGTTGTATTACGAGTGTCGTAAAAATTCTGTTTGGAGTATTTCTACTAAATTGTTATCAACTCTTCAATAATTAACAATATTAAATATTGTATATATATATATATATATATATATATATATATAACAACACATATAATGTGTATCATGTGTAATAACATATATATATATATATGTATAAAATTATAATTGTTGTTTATTCCAATTCTGAATAATAAGAATTTTTACATTTCAGTATCCTTCGCTAAACGAGTTACGTAGATTAAAGTTTTTAAAATATGTTTTAGTTTATTTTTTCAATTGCGTAGATATTGATAAACTAAAGTAAATTATTTCAAGGATTTAATGGAAAATTCAAACGAAAATCAGGAGGAATCGTAATTCGTTTGAATCAAATTTTTTAGAATTCTATAAACATATTACAATATGACAAATTCTTTGTGTGTAAAAATTCACAGACATTAATATAATTATAGTTGACTTTTGTAGCGAATATTATTCTTCGATCGTAATTCCATGGAAGCATTTACAAAAAAATCCTCACCGTATTGGCAAAATATTTCAAATACTCTTCTTCGCATTCTTCTTCCCTCTTTTTTCTTATTTTATCATTGTATCGATGAATTTCGTGACAGACATTCATAGCGTCACAAATTACGAATGACCCGTTGTTTATGAACAATTATTATGTTAGGAAGGGCTGATAAAGCCTATACTTAAAAAAATAAATAAATATATAATAAATTACTCTATATTACTATTATGCTATATTTAGCGACAATTATTAATTATTATAGTAATGGCGTATTGATTAATTTTACTTTCGCTGTGAATAATTATATTGAATATTTTTAGTGAAATTAACGTAAAAAGTATTTATAATAATGACATAAATTAATTATAGTAATTACATTTGCATTTGTTTTATAATTAGGATATTGATTTATTAACGGGGCATTCGTATCCTTCTTTTGCCCCGTGATTTCAATGGGCATGAAAAGGATAAGGACACTCGTGCTTTAAAAAGCATTTACACTCTCTTGCATTTCATTTCTTTTCTTTTGCCGAAATTGAATCAAGTGACATCTACCATACTAAAATTTGTCCCTTTTTATTTCTCTTTTTGCCTTCAAAGTTCTCGAAGTAATGAAATTGTACGCTATTATATTATATTTCTAAAAATACGCAAAATTCATTAATTTAAACATTTTTGTAAAATTGTTTTTTTTCTTCTTTTTTTTCTTTTTTTTTCTTCTTTATTTCTTTTCTTTTTTTTTTCATTAAATGCACTCGTAATGCATATAATATTGACATAATTTTTTGTTTCGTAATTCGATTAAATCTCCTGAGAGTCTATTGGCTTTTTTTAGTTAAGCATTAAGTGTTTTCTCATATTGACATCTTCATCCGCCGCTTTGTCTGTATATGATAATTTACGTATTGTTTTTCTCCGAACGTCGTCAGCGTCTCCCATTGCAATATAATCTCTGCTGAAATAAAACTGTGACCATAATTATATTCAATGCGAGACTTTAGCGTTAGTTTTGTACGTACGGTATAAATTTAGATAAATGCAGTAGCGCACCTCGTCAAAACATGTAGCAAGACTACGTAATCGGACAGGATTATAATCGAAATTAAGGAAAATTCTTTTTACAAATAGTGGGACTATAATTTTTTTTCTTTTTAAAGCGAACCAAGAGTATAAAATATACAATCTAGCATTATCTATAGTTTTTAATAGCTCGAATGAAATCAATTTCATTAAGTCAATGTTTTTTTTCTCTCTCGCTTTTTTTTTTTTTTTTTTTTTTTTTTTAAATTGAATTTTTTTTATCGATAATTTTTGTAATATTTATAATTTTATGGCCATTTAAATTATCTATCAGTTGCTAACCCATCGTATTCAAGGCTTTGGTGATTTAAATACTAATCTCCGTAAATGCAGCAACTTCAATAATTCTTGAATAATATAATATGGAATAGGTAACATAACATTTATGGTGATGAAATTTAGGCCAGACCATTTAATAATATTATGAAATTTGTATTTTCCATTTTGTTTTTGTTTTTTATTTTGCATATATTCTTAAATATACTTCTTTTTTATTATTATTATTATTATTATTATCATTATTATTATTTCCAATTGCTGTTGAAATAACAACTGCATATTTATGAAATTTGGGACCGTAAAATATAAACGAATTTCCTCCAATGTCTTTATGCTAATATGGTTAAATACATTTTTCTATCAACTACTTATATTTGTATCTAAATTCAATTCTTCTTGTCTCTCTGTCGACATTTATAACTTTATTATCCAAATATTCATTCATTTATTCAATGCTGTAAAATTTTTTTACAATCTCATGTTTTTTTTTTGTATATATATATATATTTTTTTTCATTGCTTGTGTCTTGAAGATTCTAACGCTTTGTATTATTTACTATTACAAGAGACGAAGTTGCAGATAATAATGACTTTATTCATCAAAAATATTAATTTTCGTCAAAATCTGAATTTTAATCAAATCAATTAAGACGACTTTAAAGATCGAAAGATCGAAAGATGTTGCGTCTGACTTAGTTATTACTTTTCAAATTGCTGTGAAAAATTCGTAATTAACATAGGAACGAATGGTAATAGCATCGTATTAAGTAAGACTTTTCCATTGTACGAGATCCTAAGATAAGTATTAAAGATTTTCATTAGATGAGCAATTTGATGAATATCTATCAGCAACTTACATTATTTCCTTTTAATTGTAGGTGCGTTTTTTGCTATTCTAATCTGTTTAAGTCACTGTTGACAAAATATTTGAATTTTATTATTTTATATAGATAAGTATAATGACATTGTTTTAAATTCATTTAATTGTAGGCCGATTAATTTTTATATTTCATAT